TGGGAACGCCTCAGCATTCCCCCGGAGGAGCTGGAGGAAGTGTCTGGAGAGAGGGAAGTCTGGGCATCTTTGCTTAGACTGCTGCCCCCGCGACCAGGTCCCGGATAAGCGGAAGAAAATGGATGGATGGATGGAAGTTGAGCTGTACTCTGACAAAAGCTGCTTTCCTAAGTTTGATTAGGCATAAACATACATTAATAACCTATTTAGTGTCCTGATTTATGTATTTGATTTATTAAGTTCGTTGTTACAAAGGTTCATCTTTCTAAATAAGGATGCATTTTAAGTGGCAAGCAAGTTGTGTGCAATTCATGTCTTCATTAGGATAAAAAGTTAAAAGGAAAATCTGTGTTTTGAGAGACTTTTAACATCCCATAGTTTTGGGCAGCCCCCAAAATGTATAAAATGTGCAGTATGTTTGACTATAAGGTCGATGCTTTTTGTTATTGTCTGAAAAGTTAGACCTTTTTTATCAGATTTTTTTTTTTTTTTTTGCTCTTTCTTTTTGCGTGTCTGTCATTGTTAGCTTTTGTGGTGTTTGTGTGTGTGTGTGTGTGTGTGTGTGTGTGTGTGCTACTCTATCCTCATAAGTGGAAACTGAGCTGGCCAGGGGTGCTGACTAAAGATGCATTGACTGGCATACTTACTCCCTTGCTCTGTGCTCTTAAGTGACCTTTCCTCACCTGTCCAGGATTTGGCGGTCCATTATTGGAGCAGAACCCCCGCCCAAAAAGAAAGAAGATTTGTTGCTTGCATCTGAGCTTGCTCTTCATCACCTGTTCTATGCAGATGAAACTAACTTTGCTCCTTTTAGCAGTAACCTCATGGCAACATGCGGCGCTCTAGTGTAAAAAGATGCTGGGTTTGGACCTTGTTAGGAGGGATGTTCTTTCTCTAGTTGCATACTGTCTGAATGAGCTCACAGAATGAGTGTTCCCAGAAGCACGGCACTAAAAGGAAAAATATCTTTGTGCCACTGGCATTCCATCATTCTCAAGTGAATAGCAGATCAATTGCAGTGTTTATTTTCCCCTGTCCCTCGTTTCCACCTGTATTTACAGTTGACACTCCAGCTTTTATGTTTGGTTTAACTCTATACTCAGATGGCATTTCATTGGGTCCTGTAGCTACTACTGTTAAGACTCTAACACAACAGTTGTGCAATAAATAATTCTTCATTAAACTGTTAATGTTCAGTTTTTGTTCAAACAGCTTTGGGGATGTGCTTATTGAACTGTGTAGTAATTTTGGAAGATGTATTTTATGCTACTGTTGAAATGTGCTGCATTATACTGAGAAGTGTTTGTTATTCATTAACTTTGATCAGTTGCCAGCTAACGTGTAAAATTATTGTGAGGTAATGCAGTGCACGTATGTGGGGGGTAAACCACCATGTATATTTGCGTCACTTACCCACACTGCCTATTGATTTACACACAAGGATGATGAGTGTGTGATGTGTGAGCTGTAGAATGTTTGCATCTGGATGCTTTTTATGTATGTGTGTGTGTGTGTGTGTGTGTGTGATGCACTGTATGACTCAGTGGGTGTCCTGGGTTTGCTGACGGTGTTTACCCGAGCTGCAGTGTGGTTGGCGTTTCTCCACTAATCCAGCCTCTCTTGAGGGACTCCTTATCCTAACCACTCAGTTTTTCCCATGTAGCCAGCTATTATATCAGAGAAGGAGGATGAAAGAGAAACAGGTACATATCCTCTGTGTGTACAGAAATAAACCTTCTCTCTTCCCCTGAGAGGCTTCACACAAATACTCTACCAACAGCCAAATCTCATGCACCCTCCAACTCTGTCCTAACCCCCTTTTGTCTTTCTCTTTGTCATTCTCTCTCACATTTGCTCGTCTCTCTGCAGCGCTGCATTGCAGACGTCAGCAGCCAAGAAGCCCTCTGTACTTTCTGTGCCACAAATAGACACAAGCTGATAAAAAAGCACCACTTTCTCTATAAATAGCCCTGCATGCCTTTGCTTGAATTTGATCGAATGGGAATACAGCCCTGTGAGAGAGTAAGAGAAGCAGTGATGAGAGAGAAATGAAGTGAGAGAGTTGGAGAGGGGGTGAAGGGGATAGAAGGATGTGAGGGCCCACAGCACTGCCCTGGGACCTAGGAGACCAGCTGTCTTTTGCTCACGCTGACACACTTTCCTGCTCTACTGCTCTGATATCACATCAGCAGCAGCAGCACACAGTTCACTCTTATTGCTTAGATCTTTTAGGCTTCGCCATCGGTGCAGATGGAGAAAGGTGTTTGGCCATCTGGAAGTTTGGTGGGGATTGGTGTGAATCATTGCAGATAAACTGTGAAAGAGGAGTTCTTGGAGAATATTGAAAGAAAGTGGTTATTTTTTTCTTTTAGAGTAAATGTTGATGAGCATATACAAAAAAAGACACCACCATCCATCCATCCATCTGAATATTTCTCTTTGGTTTTACAGTTTGTAGATGGTCCCTGCGCCCTCGTCTTGTTCATTGTCATGGGTATGTTGGAATGAAGGCCCATAACCTAAAAGTGTCTTGTGTCTGCATGACAGAAAGCCATCGCTTTAACAGGCTGATGAAGCAGCGGTGCTACTTACCTCATGCTGTACTGTTTAAACACCTGTTTATAGCGTGATCTCAACTGAGAACGGAGATACAAGTGTTCACTTCAGCCTCTCTACACCTGAGGCCTCAGCAGCAGAATTATTACTTTAGCTTGTCTCACCAGAATCGCTCACTACTGCACATATAATGCAGACTCTCCTTTGAATCTGCACTTCTTCAAATGGTCGATGTGCACTAGTCCATCTCTGCCTTGTAATTGATTTATCCTCCAGTTAATTGGAATCGCAGTAAAGCTTGGGTAGGCTAGTAGCTCAGTGCCCTAGTACCTTCTGTGAGTGTGTGTGTGTGTGTGTGTGTGTGCGCGTGTGTAAAAGTAAACATTTGTATGGGTACAGACTGTGGCTGTATGTTCAAGGCTGTCCACACTTATTCAGCGAGTAGCGGCTTTGTTTCATTTGCAGTCTGAGGATAGATAGCAGCACGAAGACTGCTTCAAGATGCATCTCTTGCTCTTACTTGAACTGATGTCTGTCTGACAGCTTGCAGTGCTCCTGATCAGAATATCAACAAGATGGATGTGTTGTCTGTGTGGGCTGT